TTGGATAACCAATCTGTATATACATTCGTCACATTTAAATGTAACAATACCAACTGTTGCGTATCTGCTTGTTTGTTAATTTCCGGTAGAAATTCTTTCCGAAGAACTTCGGCGATACAAGTCCTTTCTGGATTAAACCAGTTTATGCTTTGTCTTTCCTGGGTAAAGTCATGTATGACTTCTTTATTCTTTACATTCAGGAGAACTCTTCCAACCACCAATCTATTCATGACAAGCTAGAATATTTGGTTCTACTATGCCCTAGTCTCTAGATAAAGAATTATTGTTGTTAACTCCTCCTGATATATCCATGTCTCTGCATGAAGTAAATTCTCAAAATGCACTCTTCTTTGAAGTCAATTACCAAAAAAAAAAAAAAAAGACATGAGGCACAGAGAAGCCTTCTACAGTAAGAGTAACTTCCATTTTGATGGAAATTTATGTCTACTTGCTGTTTGTATCAATCTTCTATTTTAATCTCTGGAGACAATTTCCCCTCGTTTATTAACAAATCAGGGTGAACTGTTGTTAGCTGTTGAACTAGTGTCGATTAACATCAAGAAAGGCTTCCCACCAATAAATCCATGGAATAGTTTCTTGAACAATGAACTTCTTATTTCATTTGGAGCAGATGGCATATTCCCAGTTGCATTTTGCCCCATAAGTCCAACTAATTCCTGTTTTCTAAATATCTAGAAAGCTCTTGGTTGTACTTTCAATCTGTTTGGGCTCTAAGACTCATCCTTGGGGTATCATTTCCTTGGTATCTTAACAACTGTCTAACTCCTTTTAGTTCTTCTGAACTGTTGTCAGTTGAAGTTGAAGTTTCAACACTACTCTTTTTCTTTTTATATCTATCTTTGCTTGTATTAAAACACTTAAGCTTTTATTCTAAGTACTTTTAAATACTAACTCTTGAAGCAATTTGTAAAATTTCCTCGAAAATTTCAAGTTGCTTCAGAACAGCAAAAGAAACAAGAAGAACGAGAAAATAAACAAGAAGAGAGAAAACAGCAGTGGCAAGAAAACATGCAACAGTGGCAGCTCGAACAGCAAAAGAAACAAGAAGAGAGATTACAGCAGTTGTTGGAGGAAAAAGAAAAGAAACAAGAAGAGAGACAACAGCAGTGGCCAGAAAACCTGCAACAGTGGCAGCTCGAACAACAAAATAAACAAGAAGAGAGATTACGGCAGTGGTTGGAGGAGAAAGAAAATAAACAAGAAGAGAAATTACGGCAGTTGTTGGAGGAAAAAGAAAAGAAACAAGAAGAGAGACAACAGCAGTGGCCAGAAAACCTGCAACAGTGGCAGCTCGAACAACAAAATAAACAAGAAGAGAAATTACGGCAGTTGTTGGAGGAAAAAGAAAGGAAACAAGAAGAACGAGAAAATAAACAAGAAAATAGACTACAATAGTGGTTGGAGGAGAAAGAAAATAAACAAGAAGAGAAACTACAGCAGTGGCAAAAAACCAGAACTAGTG